TCGAGGAGCTGTTCTCCATTATCATTCATCAGCCTCGGGCAGCTAATGAAACAACGCGTGAGATAGGCTCGCATGCAGACAAGTGTTACAAGCTACCAGGCAGAAATGCCAGCGGAAATACCTTTCTGAGCTTTTAAAGCAATACGACGTCGAAGCTATTTTCGTTTTCTTTGCATAATATATGCATGCATATTATATACACAAAAATACCCTTGTTTTGTAGATGAAGTACCAGCTGACCAGAAAAAAAGTTTAAATGAAATGTTCACAGCTTTCTTGTTTATGACCTAATAACCCAATTGACATCAAAATTGACCGAAAGCTACAACGAACATCCAGATTATGTTTAAAAAAAAAGAAAGAAAATTTTATTGCTGTCGCACAATGGAAAGGTGATAAAGCAGTTCACACCTGTACAACGTGCCTTTTCACTTTAGTTGTATCAGGAAACAAAATCTCCCAAATCAACTTGTGTATTATTTGCTCGGAAATTTGGAATGGATACCTGTTATTGACACAGTTTTTCCAGCGAAAGATCCATTTTGTAAAGGGCTGCAAATTATGAAATGTTTTGGTCCATAGAAAATACGAATTAGAATTCTAATCCCGGGTAACACACGGTAGGCAGCCTGTAAAAGCAACCCACTCTAGAAAAGTTTATGGTGAACTCTGATCAGTACCTCGTTATCTTATCAAAATTCTGGAGGCGTTTTGCACCATTAGTTGACGATGAAGAGAGAAAGAACCACCCCTTCCGGCAAGGTAGGGTTGCTCCGCATGACACCAGAGTTGCTCTTGGCTGGGTCAACAATAATTTTGGTCACAGGACAGTCAGTCCGACTGAGCACGAGTGGACCCCAAACGACCCGAACTTTAGCCCAGTGAACTTTCACTATTAGGTGGTGTTTGTTGAAGGTCAAGATGTGTGGGAAAATGTTCGAAAGTATCCAAGACTTAAGAGGAGCCATCACGGTGGGCGCAAGAGAGATTTCCCTCAAGCAGTGTCAACGGGTGATTGCCAATTTCACTCAGCATGTGATTTACTCGAAATTGAGGGTATCTGAAAGATATCTTGTAACTTTGTGGTAGGCATATTCTATTGTTAGTAACACGCGATGAATCCGGATGAATGTTCCAAGTTCCTGCAAAGTTTGGTATTTGTATACCTCTTTATTCATACTGAATATGCCGGCGTTCTTTTAGACGAACCTTTTCTTGTCCCATGGTAATTTGTAAATGGCACGAAGAACAAGCTTGGGTTTTGTTTTGTTTTGTTTTATGGTTTTAACAAATGTGCCTTTTACAATAAAGCAAACCAATGGCTTCAGAAACGAGTTGCGAACTACTACTACTACTACTACTACTACTACTACTACTACTACTACTACTACTACTACTACTACTACTACTACTACTACTACTACTACTACTACTACTACTACTACTACTACTACTACTACTACTACTACTACTACTGCTGCTGCTGCTGCTGCTGCTACTACTACTACTACTACTACTACTACTACTACTACTACTACTACTACTACTACTACTACTACTACTACTACTACTACTACTACTACTACTACTGCTGCTGCTGCTGCTGCTGCTACTACTACTACTACTACTACTACTACTACTACTACTACTACTACTACTACTAATGCTGCTGCTGCTGCTGCTGCTGCTGCTGCTGCTGCTGCTGCTGCTGCTGCTGCTGCTGCTGCTACTACTACATGGTAATGGTGATGCTGATGATGATGCTGATGATGATGCTGATGATGATGATGATGATGATGATGATGCTGTTGATCAAAGTGATGTTGTTATTACATTCCTTACCTCCTCGCACCTGTTCCGCCCCCCCCCCCTCTCTCTCTCTCTCTCTCTCTCTCTCTCTCTCTCTCTCTCTCTCTCTCTCTCTCTCTCTCTACCACTTCTGGCCTTAACGCTCCTCTTTTTCTGGCCTTTCCGAATTGTGCTCATCTCATTTTAGTTTTAGCGTTGTGACATGAATGTACGCACTTTGGCTTATGTAGATCTAGTCATTTATATTTTGAATGTTCCTGATGAAGCCCATTGAGGGCGAAACGTTGAACTTGTGATTAAATTGTTGGAAATACTACCAGGTCTTAACCGTATCTTTATACTATGATCAAAGTCAAAGTGATGATGATGATGATGAGGATAATAATAATAATAATAATAATAGTAATAGGCTAATAATAATAATAGTAATAATAATAATAAAAATAATGATAAGAATAATAATATCAATAATTGTAATTGCATTTATATAGGGCATATTGACTAACCATCAACAGTATGCTCTTTGCTCTTTGCAGCTGTTATCACCCCAGCATACCCTAAAACTCTCAGAAACATTCTTGTCTTCCCTGGAAGCATACTGTGCAAGCTGCAGATAAAACACTAAAACACTGACAAGCTGTCATGATCTTTCACTGTCTATAGCCGGGTACCACGTTCTGACCTGGGTAAAGTGAGGAAAATATGTTTAAGGTGCCTTTCTCAAGGACACACCGTCGGAACCCTGATTGGATTCGAACCCACAAAGCTATGGTTGAGAGTCCGAGAGCTTAACTACTAGGCCACCAACGGTACCTCCTGTCTTCTCAATTTGAAGAAATACATACTATACATCTGTCCCCGCTTTTTTATGCAAATTAATTCTGAAATTATGCAAACTGAGCCCCAAAAAAGTGAAAGTATGCGATTCTGTCAATTCTAACAAAGAATGATAATGATAAAGGAAAAAAAATCAGAATTATGCAAAAAATTATCACATTTTGCTAAATTGTGCGGAGTGCATAAAACCCCGGGGACAGATACATGTATTTTTGTGTCACGACGCGGTAGAATCAGTCGCTCGTCACTTTTTTGGCATATAGAGATATTAATACCATTTTAAAGCTTGTTCTTTTATTTTTCATTTGGCGAAAACAGTGCCCCTCTATCTTGAATTGAAGTGGAGATAGAATTTACGAGTGAAGGTGATGAGGTCACCTGGCGACAGAGAGGTAAAACTATCGAAAAAATGGTCGCCGAAGTTTGGTGACTTTCAAAGCTTGAGAACCCTTGGAAACTGGAAATTTAAGTTTTCTTGAGTCTTTAATGAAAGTTTTTTTCAGTAATATCTGCTCAGAAATGCGTTTTTGTTTTGTTTTAGTAGAGGTTTTTCGGCTCTCGCAACTGCATGAGGTCATATGAGCGCCAGAAGATTAGAGGTGTTACGAGAGAGTAACAAACATAAAAAAGAAGAAGGGGAGATAAGGACGACAGATGTTTGATAGGACAGAAGAAGCAAACCACACCAGAGCACCCACCAACCACCCACAATGCGTTTTTAAAAGGACATAAAAGGTGTTGAAGCAAAAACAAAAATATTGAAAAAGAATAACATGTACCTACCGCATAGAAAAATGCTGTTTTCTTTGATTTCATTGTTTTGACAAGCGCCTGATTTCACCACGCTGCCTCACTTATTAGTGTTAAAAAATGGAAAGTGCATACAACAAGTGTGCAGTGAGTCTGAAACCACTTGTCAAATGACCCAAAATGACTCAATCACGCGGATGACGTAACCGAGCCAAAAACTTTAAAAGCAACAAGTCAGCGTGATGGATCCTTTAATTAACACTTTAAAAAATATTGAAATTAAGGCTCACTTTTTAGCATAGAAAAGCAGAGCTGGATTGTTTATTGGAAATTTGTGTACTCATTATATTGAAAGCTTTTGGTAGTTTTTCCATAGATGACAAGTGGGAATATTTGCTACTTTAAAGTGTTTCTAATTAAAAAAAACAAACCTTTAACAGCGTTCTCTTGACTGCCGTCTTGCTTTTTCCATAAACACACACACACACACACACACACACACACACACACACACACACACACACACACACACACACACACACACACACACACACACACACACACACACACACAAAGTAAAGCACATTTTTACCTTTCATCAGTGTGTGTTTTTCTTTACCCCCCCTTTTTTCTAAAAAAAACCCATCCCCCCAATAAAAAACAAAAACAACCGCCCCCCCCCCTTCAAAACAAAAACAAAGCAAAACCAAGAACCCCAAAACACCCCCCCCCAAAAAAAAACAACAACAAACAAAACAAAAGAACAACAAACAAACCCACAACCCACCAGCAAAAAAAAAGTTTAAAAATATTTGTAAAAAATAGATAAACAAAAAAGTTAATAAAACCGACCCCGCAAAAAAAGTTACAAAAAGCCCACCCACCTCCTTCCTCCCGGAGAGAGTGAGAATGAGAGAAAGAAAGAGAGAGAGAAAGAAAGAGAGAGAGAGAGAGAGAGAGAGAGAGAGAGAGAGAGAGAGAGAGAGAAAGAGAGAGAGTGGCACGTCCAACTTCTTTACTATTTCGTCTTCCGTTTCTGTCTATCTGTCAAGCTGTTTCAAACTCTAAATGGCTGTTAATTTTTTGATGTTCTCTTCTTTCCCGAGATACAGTCATACACAAAAAAATCAACAGCAAAACAAAATAAAACAAAACAAAGCAGCCCCCCCCGCCTCTCCCGATTCCCGTCTAGGAGGGTGTTAACTCAAACACGAACAACTGATCGTTTTCTCAACTGAGAATCCAACAAAGTATATTAAACAAAGAACCTTCAAATAAGGAAACAATATTTCCGCTTTCTGTCTTTATTGAGTGAGCGAGTGAGTAAGTGTGTTCCCCCATCCATCGCACCTCCCCCCTCTATCCCTTTACACTCCCCCTCCCTCCGCTCCCCGCTAACCACACCGAGCAGTCAAACTGCCATAATAAAGCCCCTGACAGGCTTTTAGGGCCGAGTATAAAACCCTCTCTAGGCCCGGCATGGAAATCAGGCATTTCCACCAACGCCTAAGCCCAGATCCCACACCGGGCAATAGAGACATTTGAGTGACCGACCGTCACCTGGGACTTTCGTACTCCAGACTGACACTGTGATGTTTTCAAACATGTCCGCGGTAAGTCGTGGTGCTTGGGTGGAGTGGAGGCTGCAGCTGGGAGGTTTTTACTTCTTGTCTCACCAACTGCTATTCATTCTCTACTGTTATTCATTTTCGAATTTTTAGAATTAAAATCATGACAATGTGGGTCGTGTAAGGAGCGTTATTTTCGCAACGGAGCATCTACTGCAGATATAACAGGGTGATTAGCTTAAAAAGTTCTTTACAAAATAAATTAGGCAATGATATATCAATCGGATTTGAACCCTTGTCATTTTCAACGGGGTCGATTCCCATTCTAAATTCTTTTCTGAGATGTGCCCATACCACGCCCAATCAGTTGTTATCTCTTTCTGTTAAACGTGGTTATAACAAAAGCAAATCCTTGCGATCACATAATATATAAAAATGTGTCTATGAATCCTAACTGGTAATTTTCCACATGTTGTTTCTATTTTAGGTTTGGAAGGTCATCAATTACACTTAAGAAAACTTTTCTTTTCTGTTTTGTTTCGTTTTGCTGAGTTAAAAAACACCCAGCAACACCCCCAAAAACAAACAACGTAAACGCACCTCACTTTTGGAAATTTGTCGAAAGATGCAATTATACTATCCACTGCCCTCAACTGGAACAAAAAGCCACGCCCCTCTTCAAAATCAAAATCAACACCATAACAATCTTGCACCCCACCCCCCTCTCAAATATCCATTCACAAAACAACAACAACAACAACAACAACAACAACAACAACAACAACAACAACAACAACAACAACAACACCAACAAAAACAGCAACAACAACAATAACAGCAACAACAACAACAACAGCAACAACAATAACAACAGCAACAACAACACAACCACAATAACAAAGGCAAAACCAAACTACAATGTATACCAAACCAAACCAAACCAAACAAAACATAAGCCACTCACAACAAAGATGTCAAATCAAGATTGAACCTAAAGTAAAAAACAAACAAAAAACAAAGCATAAAAATAAAAGCAAGCACTGTTACCCTTGACAACCTCCAAAGGCTAGTAAATCAATGGCTCGAACTATCTAAATTCAGAAACGTCAAGCACGTGATCGATTTCAGTATTAGCCTACTTAGATATATAAAACAAATATCAATTGTCAGTTTTTAAAAGGTCGTATTTTTTTTTAAAAAAGCATATGAAAATTCTAATACCGTCCTGTTGGCATTCAGTCGTCATTGTGTTTTTAAGAGTGGGTTTAAACAAAACAACCCACCTATTTGTTATATTTGAGGAACTTGAAATAATTTTTTTTCACAAATACGAGCTTCAAATTTTTTCGATGTTTTCGTAGCTTTCAATCTCGACAAAACCATCCTAATTCCCGCGTCATAAGCCCTAAACCCCGTTTTTAGCCCTTAACACGTAACTCCTTTCTTCTAAACCCCAGCATAATACAAATTAAACCATATAATCTCTGATCTCTAATCTTTGATTTAAAACCCCTAACCTATAATACTCAAATAAACCTTAATCTTTAGCTTAAGTCTCTTGTGCTGGGGTGTCAAAGTCAATCGTTCAGGGGCCACACTTAGAATACACATAAGTTTTGGGGCCGAACTGGACAAACACTCATTGGGCGAGCAGTTGAAAATGAAAGCTCTGAAAAAAAATAAAAATTTGATATTATAAAATAAAACAGACTAAAGCTAAACTTTTATGACAATTTGTCAGAGCTGGATGATTTGCATCTTTTGCTGGCAGAAAAATCTATCATATTTTGAGAGAGGTTATGTGCTACAGAGATTCTCAGGACGGACTACCTAAAGTTTGATAGCGGGTCGTCGGATACAATAATTGTTCGCTGGGACAGATGAGGCCCCCAGGCCTTGAGTTTGACTTTTGGTCAACACGGTAGAAAGTAATAAAAACAAAGCAACCACCCCCAAACCCCCCTCCCCTACCTAATATAACGCTTTTATCTCAGTTTTAAAACCTCAGTCGTACCAAAAATTCCCAGCTTGAACCCTTTTATCAAGTCACACTTTTTTAAATGAATACTGCAGTACCCATTGTCCTATAACAACCTCAGATACGTTATTTATTACCTATTACTCTTACGTATGTATTTAATATTTATAAAAGAGATGGGTCAGAACTTTGGTGCGTTTGACTGAGTTTCACTTTGCAGACAGACACCAGTAGACTTTTGCTCATGACGTCATGATTTTCCAACACATGTAGCAGCTACCATTTGCCGAGGCTCTCAAATGTATTATTGTTGAATCTTTTCTCATCGAACTATCTTTACAAGTCTTCCTTTGGCACCATGACCATATCTCTTGTGCCTTTCATTACTAATATTATTATTGTTCGTCTCCTTCACTAGACTGGCGTCTATGCTGTTGCAGTTATGTTCTTTGATTTGCACACAGAAGACTCAAGTTCGATTCCCACACGAGGAACATTTTTTATCAAGTTTCAACGAGTTTTTGGTGGGATTTTGTATTTCTGGCCTGCTCAGGCAGG